CTCCATTATAGGCCATTATGGTAACCCTAAATCCTAAGTTCCTTAACAGCAACCCAGGAGTGGTTGCGTGTGTAGCCTTCAGCCTTGGGAGCACCTTGTTTGACAGTCTGCAACGCTGGCAGTTCCTTGGTTCATGTAGGTTTCATATAGGGGTTATATAGGGGTTTATCTAGGGGTTATATACGGGATATATTGGGATAATGGAAAAGACAATGGAAACTATTATAACGAGGTTCGCACAGGAATTCTTACATCCCGATCATGCTTTTGGCGTCTTAGGCTGAACGTGTAGAGAAGAGGCTAGGAAGTTGTGGTCTGCAAGAGCTGTGGGAGCCGAGGGCCTCCTTAGAATCCCAGCTTCGCATGAATGAACATATACCTTCAGCTCCTGTTGGCTCCAGCATCCTCTTGACTTAGGAATCCTACCGTTCGGAAATTTCTCGAAGTAAGGTATCTATGGGCATCCTGGCGATATTTGGGGAGTGTAAGAGGATTATGGGGGGTCCCTTTTAGGAAGTTTACCCAGAAGATTTTGAAAGCTCCTCTGTGTTCCTGGTGCACTGCTGCAGCTACGCTAATCCAAGTTTGGGCGGGCAGCAAGTCCCAAAGCTGCCAAGAAGATTCTTGTCTTGTCTTGACGTTGAACAAGTGTTGAATCCAGATCATGATGCACGCTAATCTACGTGTGAACCCTTTAGCACTAGGAAGAAAGCTTTGTTTACAACTTCGGTTTCCTGAAGCTGGAAAACAAGACTTCAAGCCACTCCACCTGCTCGCTGACACTAAAGGCGGCAACCAGATCGGTGCCAAGTTCTGGGAGGCTTGATGGTTGCTAGTGGCATTGCAGTGGCGTGCTATTCTTTGTCACCCTTTATTGCTGTCTTTACTCCTATGGCATCATTAAGGTGCTTCAGAACTCCTGGCTTGCCGCATAATCACGTCCCTTTCCCCACCCCTGAAATTAGACATTCAATACGTTACCAACGGGGGTGGGTGGCAAACCCAAAGCCCTAACCCCCAAACCCTAAACCCTAAACCTTATATAATCCTATATAACCTTATATAACCCCTAAAACCCTCTTTTAAGGGACCTCCCCCCAGAGCCTGTAGAAAGGCTTCAACATCAGAAGCCTCAGAGCATGCCTTGCAGCCCCTGAAGGAGCTGCGGGAGCTTCCACATGAGCTATGGGGATACCAGGGGAGAATATAGGGTTTAGGGATCAGGGTTCAGGGACTAGGGTTTAGGGTTTAGGGATTAGGGTTTAGGGATTAGGGTTTAGGGTTTAGGGTCTAAACTCCTTAAAGGGGGGCTATAGGGGATTATATAGGGGACTGTTAAGAGGGATACTAGGAGTCTAGATTATAGCTCACATGAAGCCTATAAGCCATGAAACAGGACAGCCGAAACGAGCAATGGGCACGTTCATGATACGCATATCAGCGTATGGCCTTCAAAGGAATCCCCCACATAACTCAAACCCCCTCCATATTCCCTTCTGTTCCCTTAGAAGCGCCGCCGCACAATGTCATTCTCGACTGAATCTCGCAGGTCATCGCCGACGAGCACGGCATCGACCCCACTGGTCCAAGCCTCAGAAGCCGATGAAGGGCCCTCAATTGTCTGGATCACTCTGTTTGCTTGTAGGCTGGTGCTATACGGGAACTAGACGTGATTTACACGAATCCGCCAACTCGCAAATGGCAAGTAGAGCTTAAAGCTCTACCTGTAGGCTCAGGATGGGTATAACTATTGGGGTTTATATGGGGATAATGGAAAAGAAAATGGAAACTATTATAATGGGTTATATAGGGATTATAGGGTATATATTGGGGTTTATATACCCGAAAATCGGTACCTTTCACCCAATGTACCCGCATTGGGGGACTTGGGGTTCATAATTGGGTTGCAAGTGCCAGTCCTACCTGGGTTATACGTACCCTATACGCCCCTCGATAACCCTATATGAACCGTCTACTATATGGTAGTTTCCCAAAATAAGGGAACCCCAATATAGACCCAAATTACTATAATCCTTATTATAGGG